TTTCTCTAGAGGAATGGGAGAAATATCAGTGTCACTCTTGCAGGACTGTTGTTGGCCTATCAAGTCACCAAGGTTCCTCCAGGGCCAGCAGAGAGAAGGGTGGCCTGAGGCCATGGGTCATCTAGAGTTTCTACCCCAACAAGGCCCTGGCCAAGGGACAGAGGACATCCTCTCTGTATGTTTGCATGTCTGCCTATCCCAATACTCTAAGCTCCTCCAAGATGAATTCTCCAGCTTCCCATCTCCCCTCTTCACTGAATTCTCTCCTGCTGCCAAAGAGAAGGCAAAGATCATCAGCCACCAGTTCTGAGAGTTGAAAGAACCCCACACTAACTTCCTTAGTAATCCTGGAGCTAGTGCCCTGGCTAAGCACTAGCCATTCTGCTAGCCTCTGCTTCTGGAGCATAAACTCCGGACTGGGAAAGTGGCTCCCAGGTACCAAAGTTCAGCAACAAGAATTAGGTGGCTGGCATCCAAAGATCGCATGGAGCCTGTCTTGGCAAGCCGTGGAAGTTTGAGTACAGTCTAGAGGGTCAGGCTGGGTTAAGAAACATCCTTGTTTATAGGTCTAAGAATCTGCTCAAACACACTGGTCTTAACACTCCTCTCTAATGGGCTCAGGGAAACTCTCTTGTAGTCTTAAGGCCCAACTTTTCCCACATCGGCTCTCCTCCTCCCCCCCTCGTCCCCCCCCCCCCCCCCCCAGCCCAGGCTGAGCTAGCTGTACACACTGGCTTCCACCCTCACCCCAGGGGAAGTTTCTCCAGGCAGTGGGGTGGAGGTGGGGGACTGGAGTAGTGTTCCGGAAGTGCAGGCCTGATGGGAGTTTCTCCTGCAGACCAACTGGAAGGAAGTGGTCATGATCTACTACAAATGCAGAAGAAAAGTGTCACATTGTTAACAAATATATCTGCTTTGTTGTTCCCGGGTAGCTCTAAAGACTTTCCTATCAATGGAAGGTCACTCACTCCCTGCCTGAGCTACTGGAGAGATAATAAGAACTCTCCCCCTTGAATTCTCCAAGTAGCCAGTTTAGGCTGGGCTGATACTTTTTTTCTTTCTTTTTTTTTTAAAGAATGACATCAGCCCAGAGTCGGTGAAAGAAAAAGGGGGAGAGGCAGGGAGGGGAGTGGGGAGAGGAGGGGGAAAGAGATGGGCTGGGAGAGGTACAGAGAGGCTATTTAGCCAAACAGAAAAGGTATCAGATAGTTGTGTAATGGAATTTTGTATTTTTTCAGTGTAAATGAGCAAATGTAGTATCTATGCAATTAGTTACACAATTTCAAGTACCATTACTGCAAGAGGAAGAGAAGAGAACATTCAAAATACATAAAATTATTTTTTAGATCATTCTAGGAAAAGGAAATGCCAGAGTAGTAAGATAAAGACATCTTAATAACAAATTCATCTATTTATTTCTCTCCTTCCAACACGGAGACGGGTCTCCTAAGGCAATTTTGCACATAAATCTAGGACATGTTTTTATGTGCCTGCTTGCCCTGCTTGGAGCTTAAAGAAAAACACAGCAACCACACTCTCCAGTTCAGCCTTGCTGAGAGAGACCTAATCACCCGTGCTGGCAATTACATAATTGGGAATGGCGGACACCAACCCCAAGTCTCCAAGGAGTCAGCATTTGGCTTCTTGACATAGAAGATGCCTGCTGCCTGCCTGCATTTCTTTCTTTCTTCCTCCATTCCCCCCTCCCCCCCTCTCTGTCTCTCTCTCTCTCTCTCTCTCTCTCTCTCTCTCCTTTGTGAAGATCACTTTAAAAAATGCTTCTTAAAAACCAAGTGAATGTCTTTGGTGGAAACAGAGGTCACTTAAGGATGATTTATAAGTGCACCCCCAAGCCAAAACCAAGCGTGTACCGATATCTTAAAGTGCATCCACACTCAGAGCGGCCGAAGCCCACCATCTGCTTCTAATTGGTGCCCCAAGACGCTGGGCCCAGGGGCAAAGGCCCAGGCTCCGGGCAGCGCCCCTCCCCGCGGCCTCGGGCCCGGCGCAGGCCCTTCCCGGGCCTCCCGAGTGAGTGCTCCTCTCTTAGGTGGTGCCAGGTACTCTGGAAGCAGCCGTGTAAGAACACACAGCCCCGGTGATGTCAGCGTGTTATTGACTTTCCAAGTCTGAATGACTGAGCAGCGGAGCGGGGGTGGGGCGCGATCCGCGCGGCGAGGACCGGCCGAGCGAAAATGAGCTCGCAGGCGGGGGAGGGGCGCTCGCCGCCGCCGCCGCCGCCGCCGCCGCCGCCGCCGCCGCTGCGGCCGCGGGCGCGGGGCTCGGCCGCCGCGGGCGCGGGGTCGCTGCTGCGGGTCCCAGGCGGGCTCCAGCCTCTCCACACCCTCCGATGCTGCTGTTTGTGATCAAAAACGCCCAGGGCAGAAATAGCTGCGGCCCCAGTTCCCACTTCCCCTCCCCCACCACGCTCCACCACGTGGCAGAGCAGGGCTACAAAGCAGGGGGAGGGGAGGACTGAGGCCCGAAGGGAGCGGGGCAGAAAGGCCCCTGCCCCCCCCCCCACTGCTCCCTGCGGGCAGTGGAGCCGGGCACAGCCCAGGGTCCCCTCCTCCACTGGAAACCTGGGAAACTTGTCAGCAGCGGTGACCTTCCCAAGCCAGGCTTGTGCCTTGCTGGTCGGGGGGCTGGTGGTGCAGGTGCCTTGCTGGTCAGGGGCTGGTGGTGCAGGTGCCCTGGAGGGGGGGGGGAAACTGACCAGCCTGCGGTCAGTCGTCTTCAAAGGCTGGGTGTGGACCTGGCCGCCTTGCCCATATATGGAATTGCCTTGAAAGGCCTGGATCCCCAGGCCAGCTCCAAACAGGCGGGGCCTCTCCCCCCCTGCTGCCCCGCAGGCCCGGGCCTAGCTGCTGCCCCCCCTCTGCTTGGCTGGGGCTTGTGGTGCTGGGGTCCCTTTTCAGTGGGCTCCAGCCTGGGGAAATGCTAGCAGGAGTGGGGACCCACCCGCTGGGAAGGGCTGCCAGGCCAGTCTCTCCTCCCCGGGAGAACTGGGTGGGTAGATGGTGTCACTGACTGCAGCCTGGAAACACGCACACTGCTTTGTGAGCATGGCCCAGGGGCTTCACCCTGTGAAGTCACCGCTGTGCTCTCAGTAATTGTGAAGGACTGAGGGGGGGGAGGGGCAGAGGGGGAGGGGGAGGGGAATCTAGATCTTGCCCAGGGAGGCTGCGTGTTGTGTGTTGGTGGCATCCCCTTTCTCAGGTCAGCGCTTCCATGGTTCTTTCTGAAGCACAGTTGACTGAAGGGCCAGGCCCACCATTTCCTAACCTCAGCCCTTCCCCCGCTACCAGCCTGGCTTTGGGGATCCTTGCAGGGCCAACACCCAGGCCCAAAGGGCAGCTGGATAGAGCTACTTTGTCAAAGAGCTGGGGGTTGAGGGCAGGGAGCAGTGCCCGGAACCTTAGCTGGGCCATTCACCGCAGTAAGTCCCACCCCTCCCCCCATCCTGCCACAGGAGATTGGTCCAGGAGTGATGCTCTGACACACTTTAGTCCAATCAGAAGCCTTGGGGACTTTTGAAATTGATAATAATAATAATAGAAGACAATGTCTCCCCAGGGAAGAAGCCTCAAGGCTTTTATAAAGTGGAGACCCATTTCCCATCACGTGGGGAAGAGGCTACTAATACAAAACCAGAGGTAGGCATAAGACAAAGAGATGACAGGCACAGCCTGAGACTCTGTAGGAGAGCAGAGCCGACAGGCCAGGAGGGGGTCTTGAGATGATTGACAACAATGGTTCTTATGTCCCTGATAAAGCCCTCACCGCCCCACATTTCTTGCCAAACTCTCCATCTGGAGATAGGCCCAAAGAGGAGTCCAATGGAGTCCTCTTGGAGGGCTGTTGTCATACCACAGGGCTCCTCCGTAGCTCCCTCCTTGGGCTTTGGGCTGCTTGAAAGCTTGCGCCTGTGCCCCCCACTTCTTTTCATTGTTTACATGGGAACCCAGGGCATTATGGGAAGAAGAAACATTTGAGGAGGAACTCAAAGCCTTAGGGGAAGACACATTCACAGCATCTCTGTGGCTTTGTAACTCCCAGGACCGTGTGGAAACCTGCAGAGGGCAAAGCTGTATCCTTACAGCTTGGTTTGAGTACACAGGAAGTGGCCTGGTGCCTGTTCAAACAGGAGACCGGTTAATGTAAAAAGGAAACATTACGTATTGCTGTAGACTTCTAGAAGCCTTTTCTGTTCTGCCTTAGTAATAATGAGGGTTTATTCGAGTGAATAGAAACAAAAAGAGAAAGAAATTTTACCCTCTCTACATTGCATTTAATAAAAATCTTGGAGAAAATGAGTGAACTGTCAAGACTTAAACCCTGTGGGTTTGGTAGGAGGGAGGCTGAAGTAATGTACACTATTCAACATTTATGGGACAGCAGATCCACATTTTATCTGAAAATAAAATGCAGTAATGGCTTAACCTCCTTTTTACTTACTCTCTCATTTGTTTCCAAAAGGTTCTTTTTTCCACTCTTTTTTTAGTCCATGAGTCACTTCCAGTTAGATTCAAAGACAAAAGCAGGCTAATTGTATGTCCCTGAGTCAGTTTCCCACCCTGCCTTATCATGCACACCCTTCTAGCTCCAAGAAGGCAGAGAGGTTTCCAGATTACCAGGCACTCAAGTGGAACCTGTTTCAGCATCGGGTAGGCTCCCTGGCCAGGCCAGTGGGGCCCTCCCTGTACTTCTGGCACCTGGCAGCGGATCAATGCGATAACACCTTGGGGCGTTTCCCTCCAGTGCCATTTTCAGTCAGGAACTGTGGGTACAATCCACCATGTTCCTAAAGCACCCTGTTAAACTCAGGGAAGTAAGGGTGAATACAAGGGAGTCCCAACCCTCTAGCACACTACCAAATAATAAAGAAGAGAGAATCACTATTAGATAAACTTTGAGGCCTAAAGGAGGAAATATTAAGACAGATTTTCCTGTCTCCATACTTTAATATATCTCACTAGAATTTTTTTTTCGTTTGCTAGCAGAGGAGAGCCTGAAGACTGTTCCCTACTGCCACAACTTATGCTGTTTGAGTTTCTGCTTCCCTGTATTTGGGGAATGTCAGGGGTCATCACACATAGAATGAAATGGGTCAACCTCACCCAGTGGAAAAACTTCATGATCTTGGCAAGCCACCTTGTAGGTAAGTTTTTTGTCAGCAACATTTCACCTGATGAGCTTGTGGATTTTTCAAATTTTAATTTAATTGTGTTTATCCATCAGTATTGTGGGCTTGAACTTAGGGCCTGGGCACTGTCCCTTAACTTTTTTTTAACTGGTGCTCTGCCACTTGAGCCACAGCTCCACTTCTGTCTTCTTTTGGTGGTTAGGTAATGGTAAGAGCCTCACAGACTTTCTTATCCTAGCTGGCTTGGAACTGTGATCCTCAGATCTCAGCCTCTTGAGTAACTAAGATTACCATCAGTGCCACGCTGTTCCCAATTACTTGAAACGCTTTATTCAAGGTCTGATCCACTCTCTTCTCTTATTTTCCAACCATTTCTCTATTCCCCAACTCTCCTTCCTCTCCCGAAGATCTTAGCTTTCTAGATAATGGTATCCCATCCATCTTGCTATTCTGCCAGAGAAGTAATTCTTTATTTGTATCATTATCATTATTATCCTTAAGTAGTTGTGCAAAGGAGGTTCAATCAGAGTACAATGTCACCCCCAAGAAGCATTCACTGTGTCAAGACATCAGCACGTTTTCCTTAAAACTTACCCAGCTCTGCACTGTTCCCCATCTGCCCTCATTTCCCCACTGCCCCTGGGGCAGTAACCCCTGCTGGAACTCCATGGCACCAAGTACAACTCACACTCATTTCCCCCCTCCCCCACCTCCTAAGCCTGACACCATCTGCTGGCTGTGTGCATTCTGCTCACTCTGCCTCTCCCAGCCCAAGCCCCTGCAGCCACAGGAAACTGCCTTCTCCTTCCACCTTCCTCTCTTCTGGCCTTTGAAGTTAGAGGATTAGCCAGAAGATTCTTCTGGTATTTCTTCAGACAGGTTCTTCCATATCTGCCTTAGTGTTTTCTATCTGCTATAACAAAAAGAATACCATAGAGTCAGTGACTTAAACATCAGACAAGTATTTCTCACCATTCTGGAGGTTCAAAAGGCCAAGATCAGAGGATCAATTCATTTGTTTCCTGGTAAGGGCCATCTGCTAGTTTATAGGTGGACATTTCATGCATGGCAGAAAAAGAAACCATTGGTTTTCTTGTCCCTGTCTTTACTTTTTCTTTTTTGTAAAAAGATTTGCCATTTAATAAGGCAGTTCGTGGATACAATGTCACTCTTTTCAACATTCCAACATACCCCTTCTCTCACGATCTTAATTTTGTAGGATATACAATTCTTGATTGCTTTTATCCCTCCCTTCTCCTCTTCTTATACAGGTTAATCCTATTCCCTTGTGACCTACTTACCTTCACTATGATATTCAGTCCACAGCAATGGACTGTTTGGTTTCTGTTCCATGGCCAACTCTTTAGAGAGGCAGTTCGGGACCTCTGCATCCCTCATCTTTCATACCACCAAGTTTATGACCTGTCTACACAACTTCTCATCACCTACTGAATGATTGCCCTAGTTCTTTATCAGTTGACTCCTTTATTCCCTTAGAACATAACTTCCTGGATGGTGCACATCTTATGGGGCCTGTTCATTGCTCATAGATGAGTGCCTTGATTCATAACCATTTAATAACAGGTCCATAATAAGTCCTTTCTAATGAACTGGTACAGACAATAGAGAAGATTCAGGATAGGCATAACTAAGTTTGCTCTTCGAGGGAAAGTAGTTTTCCTGGTGGACTAGGAGATACGTCTTCTGAAAAAAGAAAGTGAATGTTAATGTTGCATACTCTCTTGACCCCATGTGGGCCTCCAGCCATTTTCTTAACCCTCTGCATTTCTCATAGCACAACAATGCTTCTTTGCAGGGTTATCTAGACAATATTGTCATGCCTCCCTTTCATTTTCTCCTTTTGATTACCATCAGGCATTTGCCCTAAAACTCTCCATCAAAACTGGCATTTTTTTAAGGTTACCAATGACCTTCTGTATCATTAAGTCCAACAGTCAGTTTTTAGACTCACCTTAGTACATGTATGAGCAGAAGATTGCTAGAAACCTAGAAAACTGCCCTCTACAAAGTTTTCTCCTTCTTCGGAAGTAGGTATGCTGAATCTGATGAGCACCATGTTGGCCACATGGTGGATGATAGGGTATTGGGTTCAACTGGTGCCATCTTGTCTTCATGCTGGAGACAGGAAAGCCCTACCTCCCAGGCGATGGGTGTGCCTCAATTCCTAGAGGCAGGGGCAGAGACTTGGACAATGGGTTACTGGACCTGCCAGTCTTGGGTCGTGAACTCTCAAGCTTCTTGTGACCCTGCCCCCTGACCTGACCCTAGTTAGGCCCAAACCAACTCATTATGCCATGCCTCATGTCCTGTGTCCCGTTTCCTCTCTCTTCTCTGGTCACTATGACGTCCCACGTCAGCTTTCCATTGGAGCTGATATGGCTCGTTAGTATTGTTTGTCTGCTTTTTCTTTCCTCTCCATTCTCATGGCTGTTTTCTGGCAGTGTTAAGTGTATTTGCAAGGCTGCAGATCTTTGGGACAAGAATCCATCGGCAGATTCTGGCCTTTTAATAAACGCTGCTGATTGAACCTCTCAAAATGTGGCTTCTCTGTTTTCTCACCCAGTACTTCCTAACTAGCTTCCCAGTTTCCTTGCTGAGGTCTTTGCTGTCCCCCTCTTTGATTTTGAAGACTGGGACACTTCTTACTCCTTCATCTGGCTATCCCTCCCAACTCTGCCACTGCTGCTGATCTAAACCACAGTCCTCTCTCGTGATGAAGGCAGGACTTCCCAACTGACACCCCCACTTGCATGGATCATTCTGTCCACAGCACTGCAGGCACAGTGATCTTTCCAAAGTATAAGCTAAAGACATGCTACTCCTCTGCACAAAAGCCTCCACTGCTGCCCACAGGCCCTGCAGTGATATTCAGGACCCTCCCATACTCAGTTCCGCTGCTCACCCTCATTTCAATATCCTGTACTTTTTTTAGCTTTCTCAGTGTACTCAAACACACTAGCATTTTTCCTTTTTTTGAAAGGTAGGGAGAGGTATTACTGGGGCTTGACCTGACCTGAGTGCTGCCTATTAGCTCTCTCACTCAAGGCTGGAACTTTACCACTTGAACCACAGCTCCACTTATGGATTTTTGCTGTTTACTGGAGATAAGAATCTCATGGACAGGAAACTGCCTAGACTGGCTTTGAACCTCAACCCTCAGATCCCAGCCTCTGAGTAGCTATGGTCACAAAACCAGTGCCTGATTCTGTCCCTCATCTGTAAACAAAATAGCCACTTCCTGTTGCAAGACCTTTAAGGGATCCAGTGCTTCCGCTTGGAAAGCTCTCCAAGGAGCTGGCAAACCTGGCTCCCTGTATCCTGCAGCTGCTGATGAAGTAAAGCTGTAGACCTGAAGCATTCCTTTTCCTCCTCAGAGAAACTTCAGTGTACAAAATGCAGCCCCCACTGTCATTACCCAAATAACTCCTGACTCATTTGGAATTTTCCTATAGGTCTTACCACTTTGTCATGCAGATAATGTAACATACATGCTGAACAAATAGTTGAGTTGAGAAACAAAGTTTATAGACAGGAGTCTCAAATTTTGCTACAGAGGGTTGGGCACTAGTTAATAGCAGCGGCAGAACTGGAGAAACAAGTCAAAGTCATAACGTTTTCAAATTCTGTGCATGTTACACTAAGGTGTTCGGATTTGATCCTACAGGCAAATAGAATAGCACTGAATCTGTTCAGCAGTGATCATCCTTTTTTGAATGTGAATGTACTTAAAATGGCTCTCAGAACATAGTGGAATAGATTGGGGTACAGCCTAGTACAGCCAGAGCCCAGGTGGCAGAACATGGGCAGTTGGCTTGATAAGCAAGACTCTCTCTGCCTGAGCCTCTCAATTCAAGCTGTGTGAGCAGTTGCTAACTTTGCTCATTGGCCTACCTGACAAAGGCTCCTGGTGTGTGCCAGAAGGAAGAAAGGAAAGACAGACTCTGAAAGGAGGAGGGAAAGGAGGCCCTCCAGCCTTCCTTCATTCAAGCTGTGGTTTTCACTTGAGTGTATATTGTAAGAATGATAGTCACCCTTGCAGAAGCCACAGAGATTCGACAGGATTTTCCCAAGGAACTATGTCATCTATGGACTCAAAGATGCAAAATACTCTAGTATGCTGAAGGGCCTACCACTTCACTGGTTAAAAAGGAAATAACACTTATATCTTGAAATAACACTAGGCAACTTTTCTAGTGAACTCTTGAGAATATAGTTAAAATACAATCTGGGGCTCTGCTTTTCTCCTTCTAACAAACATGATACTGGATCTTAACTTTTCAGAGATCAAAGGGTCCTGGTGTTATTCAGCCTGGTTCCAGGGATTCTCTAGAACTGATCAAATGACTCATCTCTCCCCAGTTTACTCACTTAAGTATGTGCCCAGACACACATAAAAACACCAGAGGATAAATCAGGTGCTTTCCCCTGTGACTTCTGCACTGAGTGAGAGATGGTATTTTGTTTACCCCAACCACCAAGAAAGTATTCAGGCTTGGAAGAATATTTATAAGGCCACCAGGAGTTCCCCGTTAGTCCCCCTAACCCTTTACATACCCCCTCAGAATGTCTGTTTCTATATAAATAGTCCTTACACACCCCACCTGTAGTTCTTCCTTGACAGGCACCCAATATGGTCACGCCAATATCTGAATGTTACAAAGTCCAAACAATTCATTTCACAGAGATACAAAGACTTCCACAGATGGAAATACTTCAGAAATTACCTAGTACCTTTAACCTCTTCATTTGCTATATGAGAAAGCTGAGGCACAGGAAGCACAAGGAAGGAAAAAGAGAAGAAAATAGATGCTCACTAAACTACTGTCTTCATTCATGTTGGTGTCAGGCAGCATTCCTGCTATATGGGACTTCCTCTATTCTCTGGGGTGAAAACAGACTTTGAAGTACATGTATTGGGATTCTCTACCGGAACAGAAACCAAAAGGATATATAAACATATATATATATATATATATATATATATATATATATGATATAAACG